GAAGCATTGGACACCATCAAGTCGTCAAGTATGACAGGGTCCTGACCAACATAGGGCGGGCCTACAATCCCTGGACGGGCCACTTCAGAGCCCGGTACAGCGGTATTTATCTGATTTCATGTACAGCAATGAGCGAAAGAGGCTACGAGTGCTACATGGAGATTGTCAAGAATAACCATGTTTTGACGACATTATTTTCGAATTCCGGGACGTACCCCATGAGTTCTCAAACTCTGATTTTACGGCTGAGGCGAGGTGACCGTATTTGGATCTGGGGAAGAGAAAGTCACCAGGTACTGAACGATAATTCCAATTTCAACGTTTTTTCTGGTGTTTTGCTGTACTAATTTGGCAAATAAAATGACAGTTAAATAAAAAGTTGCTGTTGAGAATTGGCTTGTTGTCTACAATGTAATGCGCTCACAATGGGCTCTGTTACAACGCCCTTTGAAAAATTAAGCACGTTGAAAATTATTTTCAAAATGTGTTATATTTGGGACCAAGTAACGCAATTTGAAAAAGTAATATTTATTTTCAAAGTGCATTAATACCGATCATATAAACGATATTTGAAAAAAAAATGCGCACGGCCTAGTCTGAATATTCTTACAAATGTTAGATATGTTAAATAGTTATGTGTAGGAAATTATTTAAACATGCATGCCATATATGGCTAAGTATATAAATTATCGTAGATGAGAATGATAAAAAAAACATCTTGCCTGTGCATTTTCCTCTGAGAGTATAAATGAATGCGTTTTTGATGAGGGGGGTACTGAGTGTAATTCGGAGTTACATGTATATATCTTGTGTTATTATTATACAATGGGTTAAAAATTTAATTCAAAGCAAGTGCCTCTGTTTTAGGGGTAAAAGTTAAATAATTGTATTAAACGATTAAAAGCAAGGGGAAAACGTATGTATCGCAAATCCTTCCGTTTACTGTACACTAGAAGATAACAAGAGGCCCATGGGCCACATCGCTCACCTGAGAAGCTTTGGACATTCTGTTCTTTACCAGATTTCCCCCTTGTAATACATATTGTGACCCCAACCTACCCCACTTATCATAATTAAAACAATTCGAAATCTACATTACCCATGTATGCTTCCAAATAAGTTACAGCTTTGATTTTCAGATTTGTTCTTTATATTTCTATGTAAAACTTGGATTTCCCATTGTGGCCCCGCCCTACCCCGGGGTTCTTGATTTAAACAATTTAATATCTACACTACCCCAGGATGCTTCCACAAAAGTTTCAGCTTTCCTGGTCCAGTAGTTCTTGAGAAGAAGATTTTCAAAGATTTTCAAAGATTTTCCCTATATATTTCTATGTAAAACATTGATTCCCCATTGTGGCCCTGCCCTACCCCCTGGGGTCATGATTTGAACAATTTAGAATCTACACTACCCCAGGATGCTTCCACATAAGTTTCAGCTTTTCTGGCCCAGGGGTTCTTGAGAAGAAGATTTTCAAAGATTTTCCCTATATATTTCTATGTAAAACATTGATTCCCCATTGTGGCCCCGCCCTACCTCCTGGGATCATGATTTGAACAATTTAGAATCTACACTACCCCAGGATGCTTCCACATAAGTTTCATTTTTTCTGGCCCAATGGTTCTTGAGAAGAAGATTTTTCAAAGATTTTCCCTATATATTTCTATGTAAAACATTGATTCCCCATTGTGGCCCTGCCCTACCCCCTGGGGTCATGATTTGAACAATTTAGAATCTACACTACCCCAGGATGCTTCCACATAAGTTTCAGCTTTTCTGGCCCAGTGGTTCTTGAGAAGAAGATTTTCAAAGATTTTCCCTATATTTCTATGTAAAACATTGATTCCCCATTGTGGCCCTGCCCTACCCCCTGGGGTCATGATTTGAACAATTTAGAATCTACACTACCCCAGGATGCTTCCACATAAGTTTCAGCTTTTCTGGCCCAATGGTTCTTGAGGAGAAGATTTTCAAAGATTTTCCCTATATATTTCTATGTAAAACATTGATTCCCCATTGTGGCCCTGCTCTACCCCCTGGGGTCATGATTTGAATAATTTAGAATCTACACTACCCCAGGATGCTTCCACATAAGTTTCAGCTTTTCTGGCCCAATGGTTCTTGAGAAGAAGATTTTCAAAGATTTTCCCTATATATTTCTATGTAAAACATTGATTCCCCATTGTGGCCCCGCCCTACCCCATGGGGTCATGATTTGATAAATTTAGAATCTACACTACCCCAGGATGCTTCCACATTAGTTTCAGCTTTTCTGGCCAAGTGGTTCTTGAGAAGAAGATTTTCAAAGATTTTCCCTATATATTTCTATGTAAAACATTAATTCCCCATTGTGGCCCCGCCCTACCCCCTGGGGTCATGATTTGAACAATTTAGAATCTACACTACCCAAGGATGCTTCCACATAAGTTTCAGCTTTTCTGGCCCAGTGGTTCTTGAGAAGAAGATTTTCAAAGATTTTACCTATATATTTCTTTGTAAAACTTTGATTCCCCATTGTGGCCCCGCCCTACCCCCTGGGGTCATGATTTGAACAATTTAGAATCTACACTACCCCAGGATGCTTCCACATTAGTTTCAGTTTTACTGGCCCAGTGGTTCTTGAGAAGAAGATTTTTTAATGACCCAACCCTATTTTTGTCTTTCCTTGATTATCTCCCCTTGCGAGGGGATATGTCCCTTCATTTTAACAATTTAAATTCCCCTTCACCCAAGGATGCTTTGTACCAAGTTTGGTCAAAATTGGCCCAGTGGTTCTTGAGAAGAAGTCGAAAATGTGAAAAGTTTACAGACGGACGGACGGACAGACAGCTAGACGGACAGACGGACGACGGACAAAATGTGATCAGAAAAGCTCACTTGAGCCTTCAGCTCAGGTGAGCTAAAAAGGAATCAGAAAGACCGGAGGAACAGTAGCAATATAGAGTCATTGTTTACAATACTTATTTTTACGACTGAATTCTAGAGGAACAGGACTGGTATTCTACATCTGGAAATCCAACTTACTATTAATGTGTCTTTGTAATGGAGGAAATTCTTCAAAATCATGTTCCATTGAAAGCACTCTTATCATTCCGGTCAACAAAAGTTAATTTACAATCTCAACTTCAACCAGAAGTCTCTGTTGAGACTGTAGCTCTACTGGTTTACACTTAAAACAAAGGAAGAAAAATTAAGTAGTAGTTGGGACTTGAGACTTTAAAACAGCAATAAATAGAAAAATGATCCTTGCCACTCATCAAAATAAAAATCGATGCACAGAATTATGTATCTTAGTATAGTCTACTTGTGTGCCAAGTTATATTGAAATTGAACTAAAACTGTAGGAGGAGTAGTATTTTGAAAGAATTTCACAGAAATTTCTATTTTTAGTAATCATGGCAACATCATTCATCGAAATCAAAAACCAATGCACAGAATTATGTATCGTAGTATAGTCTACTTGTGTGCCAAGTTCTATTGAAATTGAACTAAAACTGTAGGAGGAGTAGTATTTTGAAAGAATTTCACAGAAATTTCTATTTTTAGTAATCATGGCAACATCATTCATCGAAATCAAAAACCGATACACAGAATTATGTATCTTAGTGTAGTCCACTTGTGTGCCAAGTTTTATTGAAATCGGACCAAAACTGTAGGAGGAGTAGCATTTTGAAAGAATTTCTAAGAAAATTCTATTTTTACTAACTATGGCAACACTGTTCATCGAAATCAAAAACCGATACACAGAATTATGTATCTTAGTGTAGTCTACTTGTGTGCCAAGTTATATTGAAATCAGACCAAAACTGTAGGATGAGTAGCATTATGAAAAATTGTTTACAGACAGACGGACGGACGACCGACGCATTACTATCGCATAAGCTCTTCTGGTCTCTGACCAGTAGAGCTAAAAATCAGTCTTTTAAAGATCCGTTAGTCTTTAAAACAAGATAAATGCTCTGCTGGGCCTAGTTTTTTTTCTCTTCATATTTTACTCCTTATAGAAAGAAAATATCTAAGACGACATTTAAAAAACTAATTCTCCAAAACAACATTGAACAAAATTAAACAAAATCAACATATATTGTGATAATTAGATTTAAACAAACAGTCAATTTGCAACTGCCCAATGATAGACAAGTTTTCCGGAAACAGCAACTGTTTACAAAATTTTTTTTAAGTTTCCATTTCAAATCTTTTTGGATAAAATTACTCATTCTACATCTTTGTGACATTATTGAAGACCTTGATGTCTCAAAAGGAATAATTAAAATCAAACAACAGTGAGGGGTACCTGGGTATCACATCATGCCAACTATGGATGTACATTTTGTACATAAAATAAAACAAGAGGCGCAGGGGCCACAGCACTCACCTGAGCACATCGGGCTTGAATTTAAACCCCCCCCCCCCCCAGGTGTTCATCATTTGAACAAACTAGAATCTACACTATCTGAGGATGATTCCATATAAATAACAATAATCATAGCTTTGAAGTGCTTGAAAAGAAGATTTTAAAAGGTTTCCAGATATATCCCTATGTAAAACTTGGGTGGGCCATTTTGGCCCTACCCCAGCCCCAGGGGTCATGATTTGAACAAATTTGAATCTACACTACCTGAGGATGATTCCACATGAGTTTCATCTTTCCTGGCCCAGTGGTTCTTGAGAAGAAGATTTTTCCTATATATTCCTATGTAAAACTTGGGTCGGCCATTTTGGCTCCTTCCTTGCCACGGGGGTTATGATTTGAACAAACTTGAATCTACACTACCTGAGGATGATTCTACATAAGTTTCATCTTTCCTGGCCCAGTGGTTCTTGAGAAGAAGATTTTTTAAAAATGCCATTAATTTTTCTCTAATTCATAATTATCTCCCCTTGGAAAAAGGCGTGGCCCTTCATTTGAACAAACTTGATTCCCCTTTACCAAAGGATACTTTGTGCCAAGTTTGGTTGAAATTGGCCCAGTGGTTCTTGAGAAGAAGATGAAAATGTGAAAAGTTTACAACAAAGACGACGACAACGACTACAACGACGACAGACAACGGACAAATTTTGATCAGAAAAGCTCACTTGAGCCTTCGGCTCAGGTGAGCTAAATAGTTAATTAAAGGGCCATGCATTTGCTTTAGAATATATTTCCTTCTCCCATAAAGTGGAAAAAAAATGTTATACAGTAGTACTTTTTACAACATTATGGTTTTATTTTGTGTATTGTCTGCTTTACAGTGTAAATACATGTACATTACATAAGTGTTCTTATATTTGACAGAAAGTGCTTTCTAAACAAGTTTATTATATATAAATACACTTCTGATTGTTCTTATCAATACATAAATGTATACGAGTCTTAGACTTGGATTACAGAAAGTTGCTTTCTCTTGCAGAGGGGCTAAATAGAATACACAGCCAAATGTAATACATTTACAGTATCTGTTTTTAAGAGCTTCACTCTAAATTATAAATTGACCGGGGATAGTACACAAATAAGAGAGTAAAAATTTTTACAATATGGCCTTATATATTAAAACAAATACACATCAATAATTAGTTCAACAATATATATTCATTACAGTTCATAACAATGGTAACTGGTATATAAAAATACAAAGTACCACGCATAACAACGGTAAGTAAATTATGGCATTGCAAAAAGACCTACCAAGGTATTCACAAACAGTAAAATACAAAGTACCCAGAATACTAAGAATAGTGACTAAATAATGTTTTTTAAAAGAACCAGCCATGTTGACAAACAGTAAAATATGGCGTAGATTGTTAATTATGCTCTACATCTGCCCAGTAATCTCCACGTTATGGGTTTGTCTGAGACAGACATTAAGTACCCTGTCCAGCCTGTCAGCGATGTACTCTTCTACCCGTGAGAAGGCTGGTGTTTTCTGTCGCCAAAACATCAAAGGCTGTAAAGAACAAATACAAATGAATAAAGCAAAACAAATCCATTGGATCTAAATTAAAGACTGTCCTATCTACCTCAATGTTATTCTTTGAGTGTCAGTCCTACGTAATGTCAACCTGTCACTCAATCGTGAGGGTTGACTTTTATTGATCTCAACATAAATGTATGTTAGTACACAAAGTATAAACTACTAACTAGAACATCAGTCTTTCTCGATTTTATAGGTTAAAATACCCAAATTTACTTCATATTAAATTCATGCATTACGATAACTTTTTTAGTAGTAAATACACAATAAAATTGTACTCCGTACTCTGTCAAATTGAAAATGCATAGAAACTGACCTCTCTCTTTAAGCCCTTTCCCAAAATTTGTGTAGACAGTTTTTAGTTCTATCATAATTAATATCCACAGCAGTAAACCCAGTGTTCCTAAAGAAAAAAGAAATCATTTTGCATGTGATACCAACTGTCTTTCTGTATCTAAAAACAAAGAGAATTTTGTCATTTAAAGCCATATCTCTGGAGTACTTAACCATAGAAAAGATTAATGTAAAAATATTTATAAAAATTTGGTTGTTACACATCATTTGATTGGGTAAAAGATGTTATTCATTTCGTATAACATAAGTTGCCTACGTCACAATGAGTTATGTCAAAATCGTAATACTCCATTTGACATTGCTTTTAAAATTTGCTCAATTTAAACTTTTTTCTGGAGAAAAAATTGTTTCATTGTCTACACCAAAATTAAATTATAAGGAATGAAGCTAATTCAATTTCTGTTAATATACAGTACAAAATAACTTGGTGTTTAGTTTATGCATTTTCATATAAAGCGTAAAATGTCCCAAGTTATGTTATTTCATATAACATAAATTGAAATAAGCTTTATTCCTTGAATAGATTCTATTTATTAATAGATTGACAATGTTATAGTTACCTGCTACTAGGGTGGAGTAGACCAGGATTTCTCCTTTATCCGTGTCTTTTTCATCCAGTCTCTGATATTCCTGTAACAATTATAAAATATGTGGCTACTTTATCCACAATAAAAAGAAAATGCAATAAGCAACAAAAAATGGCCACTGACGACATAAGAGGATTGCCTGGACATTGGAAACTTGACTTTTCCATTTATGATTCCATTCTTCAACTTTGCAATTAATTTTCTTTCAAAATTATACCTATATCTTATTTTTAAAGAAAAAAATTCAAGGTATTAAATTAAAAAGACTATTCGTTTTAACTAGTGTTGGCAACAAGTACCCGGTTAACCGGTTAACCTTCGAACGATGCCAGTATCGGTTAGTAAAACTGCTATTCAGTTACTCGGATAAAAATACATTTTTCATAGTAAATACGTATAAATTTATTTTTGTAATTTGTAAATGTATATTGACTCATTTCCCTAATTTAATTATACCGTTAGGCTTGGTCTACTGGTTCAAAAATAGGATCGATTTGCTTTGATTAGTTTAATCATTTTAATTGATGACTTTAATTGCCAGGGGGTACACGTTTTGAAGACCTGGGTTATAATTACCTCATTTAGACCTGTGTCAGTCAGAGAAACATACTTTAAGTCTTTAAAATAACAAGATGCCGCCGCAAACATCTAAAGCGTGGGAATATTGTTAAAGAACGGCTGACTCGAAATCTGTCAGATGCAATTCAAGTGAATCGGAGTTGTCGTATACGGATGGAACTAAAAATATGCTAGATTACATAAGATTGAAAAATAATTCGATAACCAGTGACTTGCATGAAACTCAACAAATATAACCAGTAATTGCATTTAGTGTTACAAGGTATGTTAATTTTCCCCGATCGCGATATATATCTTCTTCAGGCGCCGATAAAATTATTTTCTTAAACAAAAACAAATTCCCCATTTCAAGTGACATTTAAAATCAAAATTCTTCGAAGATATTGTGTTTTGGAGTTTGTACTTGTAAATAAAGTCCATATATGTAAAATTTATCATTTATTTCTACCAATATGTAAAAGGATGAGATTAATAATAAATACGGATAACAAAATATCATCCGAGTAACCGGGTACTCGATCGGAAGATTAAGCGAGTAACCGGTTACTAAAAATTGTCCAATTTGCCAACACTAGTTTTAACAGATCAATTCCAAAAACAAAGGTATCTAATTGTAACTTAGTACAAGGAATTTTTGGTAGACAGAGTTATCTAACTTACATGGTTGATTTGGTAGACAGAGTTATCTAACTTATATGGATGATTTGGTAGACAGAGTTATCTAACTTACATGGATGATTGGTAGACAGAGTTATCTAACTTACATGATTTGGTAGACAGGTATCTAACTTACATGGATGATTTGGTAGACAGAGTTATCTAACTTACATGGATGATTGGTAGACAGAGTTATCTAACTTACATGATTTGGTAGACAGTTATCTAACTTACATGGATGATTTGGTAGACAGGGTTTTCTAACTTACATGAATGATTTGGTAGATGTAGTAGGTAGGCTTAGCCAGACCCAGGAAAGCAAAGACCCATGCTGCAGCCTTCCATTCTCTTCGTAACTATAAAAAAAAATTGTGAACTGGATAGACATTCATAAAGACACCCTAATTATTAGAAAGCTCAGACAGACTGCTTGTGCTTTCATTTATACTTACTTCCCAAACAATCAGATTAAAAATACTGAAGGGGCTATAATTTTGCTCCTTAAGGTAAAGATCCATACCACGTAAAATAACGTTATGTGACGTTAATCTCGTTTGTGACGTTATTACGTCAAACGCGCCCGACGCTTATTCTATCAAAAATGCCTGACGTCGATTTCACTTACCGTAAAAAAAAGGTACATTAATTTCCAAATAAAAGGCATAAATATACGATGTTCAGTTATTTTCCGGGATGCATGATCGAAGGAGAGTTTAAATTTAGATGATTCGTCAAACCGAAAGTACAACAAAGATGGCATGGAAGATTCATTGTCTCGAGTACAAGATAACTAAAAGACTTCGACAATCGGGTCGTTTTTTGTCTCTGTAAGTTGAAGAAATACAGAGTAACAAATAAATGGTTCTCTTGTCGAAAGTCATTATCGTTTGCTTACATGTTTGTACATAGGCTTAGTACATAACCATTTTCGAACCACGTACGGCTCTGAAAGTATTCAGGTACCTAACTACTTTGCTTCAATATTCCGATTTTTATATGTCGTTTTTCTCTTCTCGATTGTTTGAATTAAAATATCGTCCCCTGGGGATTGACTCAGGATTTTGAAAAAAAAAAATTATGGAAAACTTTTTTTTTACAATGTATATATTGTAATGTTACCACACTCGATTAATCCGGAAATCTTATGTCCATCTTTATTTACTTTCATTTTTGTTTGTATAACGGCATTTCCGGAAGTCTGCACGAGGTTCATGCACTCAAATTTATCAACGAAACTTCTTGTTATATAGTGGCAACCATGTAAGTTTTATAATTGAAATTGTCTGAATATTAGATTATTTTGTTTGCAGTTTACTACGCAATCATTTTATTGTGCATATCATAAGTATTTTTGTTTATGCTGTACTTGCAACTCGCAGTCGATGCTATTTTTAGATTTAAAATCCACAAGCTGTTAGAAAGTCAGTTTAAAGTTAAATTTAACAAAATTTTGTATGATATTTGAGTAGAACAAGTTGATAATGTGTTGCTTAACTATTGATGGTGTATAAGAATTACAGTAGAAGCTCAAATATAAGTTTTGAATGTCCGGATTAATTTGTTTAATGTTTACCTATGAATCTACATAAGTTTCTTGGAATTTTTTGATTTATATTACCTGAAGTTGTGAACCTACATGAATTATTTTTTATTTTTATTTTGTGTAGCTTTCACAGAATGTCTCACAAGAGAATGTATGAAGTCTGCTCCAGACCCTTGAAAGTTGAATTCTGAATAAATTTTATGAACCTTTGAGGCATTTTGTTAACTGAAACAAAACAGTGAAAGATGGCTTCTTCAGCTCGGACAACATCTTCCAGATCACGAGCAAGTACGGCTAAGTCGGACCTGTATCTACAACAAAAAATTAAAACACAAACTGCGGAAAAGAAACTTGAATATATCCATAAGGAAATCGAATTTGTATGCCAGAGGGCCAAAATAGAAGCTGATGCCCTGATCGAAAAAGCTAAAATTGAGACAAAGTTAATGCGAATAAAAGCAGATGAAGACTCGGAAGTCGCAGAAATTAGTATGAAGATTCTTGAGGAGGAGCTTTAAGATAATAGTCTCGATAACGAAAGTGAATATGGTGACTGGATTGCATCACACACGAAGCGTTATGTAGAAAACTCACACATAGAAGCAGATAGACTTTTGACACCAGAACCGGCTATACCTCCAATTAGAACGCCATTCGTTGGAACGAGACCTGAATTTCCGAACACGGTTACACCACCACCTTCCCCAACGACACCTGCTGCCCCACCAGACAGCATACTGAACCCTTGTGCTCGACTCTTTGTTCCTGAGAATTTTGTGTCACAATCAAGTGCGTGTGAGCCGAACAAGCAAGGCGGAATCAACCAGGCTCTTATGGATATGACAAACTTTTTGACCAAGAAAAGCTTCATATTGGAAAGAGTTAAACCATTCGTTGGCGACTCGGAGTCTTACGTAGCATGGAAATCTACATTCCAGGAAGTCATGAAGGAAATTGATGCATCCCCATCTATTGAACTGGACTTAATGATAAAAAATCTTGAAGGAAAACCATATGAGCAAGTGAAGAGCATAAAGAACTCAAATACCGGTGACTCTACTTTGGGAGTACAGAAAGCGTGGGAAAGATTGGATTCGTTTTACGGCAGCCCAGATCGTATTGCGAGAGCTTTGAAGAGAAAGTTAAGTGATGTTTTGGAGAAATTTGACTTCAACAACAGGCCTGACTACTTTTGTCTCTCAGACACACTGAATGAAATAAATGCTGTCAAAGACAATCCCAAGTACAGTAAGACATTGAGTTATTTTGACACATCAGATGGAGTCAAACCGGTGTTACTCAAACTTCCCATACATGTTCAGAACAAATGGCGTGACAAGGCAATACAATACAAGAAAAACAATGATGTAGTGTATCCCCCGTTTTGTGTGTTTTGTACTTTCGTCCAAGAAATGGCATATGTGATGAATGACCCAGGATTTGACTTTGAATTTAAACCGATTCACTTAGCACCGAAGACAAAATCGAACAAACAATTTCACAGACAGACTGTCACTTCCAACAAAACAGATGTGTTACAAGATGAGAGTCAGACAAAGATCCGTTGTGCTGTGCACAATTCCGCTCACTCCACGAGTGACTGCAATGCTTTCCGCACAAAGAGTATCGGTGAAAAGAGAGACATCTTAAGGAGACATGGTCAGTGTTTTAAGTGTTGTGATGGCAAACATTTGTCTAATGATTGCCGTGTGAAAGTGAAATGTGACACTTGTGGTAGCAGACATCATTGCACTGCCATGCATTTTGACACATCAAACAGACCCTCCCAGAATCATGGCGGGGAGAAACTAACCGGTGATAAACCAGCTTTTCATCGTCAGACGGCTGAGACGACCACACATTTAAACGCAGCTTGTACAGAAATTTGTGGGGATTTCAGAGGCAAATCATGTGCTAAGATTGTACTGGTCAGCATTCACCATAAGTACAGCGAACACCCACCGGTTAATGTGTACGCCATTCTTGACGAGCAGAGTAACAAGTCACTGGCAAAACCTGAACTTTTTGAAATGTTTGACCCAAACAGTACTTGTGAATCATACAAACTCTCTACTTGCAGTGGATCATCTTTAGTCAGTGGCAGACGCTCTCATGGCTTTGTGATTAACTCGATGGACAGACAAACTACTTTCAGTTTACCTACCTTAATTGAATGTAGTGCAATACCAAACAATCGTCACGAAATCCCAACTTGTGATGTAGCCATTCATCACCCTCATCTTGCTGAGATATCGAGCTTTATTCCACCTATGGACCATACGGCAAATATATCACTACTGATTGGCAGGGATCTCTTGGGCGCACATTATGTCCTTGACCAGATAAGAGGTGATCCTTCTCAACCATATGCTCAACGGCTACCATTAGGCTGGGTTGTCATAGGAGAAACGTGCTTGGATGGAATCCATACACCGAAATCTGTTGAAGTTATGAAAACCATGTGCTCGAATTCCGAACAACCATCTCAAGGCATCTGGATACCATGTGACCAAAAGATGCACATTACAGAATGTATTGAAAACCAGTCAGTGTTTAGAAGAACCACAACAGACAATCAACCATCATTGTCAGTTGAGGACCGCTTATTCTTGACTCAGATGGACAGTGATATGAAAAAGGACTCTTCAGGGCACTGGAGTGCTCCATTACCCTTTAAAAGGACACGACCTACTTTACCAAACAACCGAAAACAAGCTTTGGATCGAGCAGTCAGCCTTGACAAGAGTTTGATGAAGAACTCTACTAAGAAAACTCATTTTCTTGAATTCATGAGGAACCTTTTTGAAGCCGGCCACATCGAGTTGGCACCACAGCTTCCACCAAACACTGAATGCTGGTACTTACCTTTGTTTGGGGTCTACCACCCCCAGAAGAGAGACAAAATCCGTGGAGTTTTTGACTCTTCTGCGAAGTGCGACGGAGTATCACTCAACGATGTCCTTATGACTGGACCAGATTTAATGAACAATCTTATTGGTGTGTTGCTAAGATTTAGGAGAGAATCTGTAGCAATAGTTGCAGACATCGAACAGATGTTTTACAGTTTCTTGGTGGATATTGAACACAGACGTTACTTGAGATTCATTTGGCACAAAGACAATAACTTTGACGAACCTTTGGTTGACTACCAAATGAAAGTACATGTTTTTGGTAATAGTCCCTCCCCTGCGGTGGCGACCTATGGATTACGTCGTACGGCTGACGAAGCAGAGGAACAGTATGGCTCGGACATGAAGGAATTCGTGCATCGCAATTTCTACGTGGATGATGCTCTTTCCTCTCATTCATCTGCAGAGGAAGCAATTGACCTACTTAGGCGCACACAGAAGGCTTTGATGGAACATGGCTGCTTGCGACTACATAAGATAGCATCCAACTCTAGTGAGGTGTTAGCAGCCTTCAGTTCTCAGGATCTGGCAAAGGACCTAAAAAACACAGAACTCTGGGCAGATGACCTACCAACACAGAGAAGTTTAGGCATCTGTTGGAACCTTCAACATGACTACTTCACATTCAAAGTAAACATGGAGGAGAAACCATTCACAAGACGTGGCGTCCTTTCCTCCATCAACAGTCTCTTTGATCCACTTGGTTTTGTTGCGCCAGTGACGATTGCTGGAAAGGCTATTCTACGTGAAGCCATGACAAGTGGATTAGACTGGGATGAACCTTTGCCGCCTGACTTTCTCCAAAAGTGGACCATTTGGAAATCATCCTTGAAGGACTTAGAACATTTGCAGATTCCACGTACCTTTAGTGAGATGTCTGTTAGTAATGCAAATTACAAGGAATTACTGATATTCTCGGACGCTTCAACTATGGCCATTGCAGCTGTCGCGTTCCTTAGACAAGTTTCTGACACGGGAAAGGAACAGCTTGGGTTCATCATGGGGAAAGCTAAACTGGCACCTAAGCATGGTCACACTGTGCCGAGACTGGAATTGTGCGCGGCTGTCATGGCAACTGAACTATATGAACTTATCGCTGCAGAGATTGACACCAACCTTGACTCAGTTAGATTTTTTACAGACAGTAAAGTAGTTTTGGGCTACATAAGAAATGAAACCAAGCGTTTTTTCACCTATGTGGCCAATCGTGTTGAAAGAATACGCAAATCAAGTGAACCTAAAGACTGGAATTACATTCCGACAAAAATGAATACAGCAGACGAAGGCACGCGATCTGTAGCAGCAAAGGAGATGTAAGCCAGTCTCTGGTTGAATGGCCTGAGTGAACTTCTTGATAGCAGTGAAAATGAACATTATGACCTTGACATTGATTGCGATCCAGAGGTCAGATCATGTAAGACAGAATTACAGAGCATTTGTCGTCTAGGCTCCCATCGCTTTGAAAGGTTTTCCGATTGGCTGCGACTGACCAGAGCTATTTGCTTCATACAGAACATGATACGCAAGTGGAAACAGTCAAAATATGATGAAGATAAAGAACAAGAACCACTTACCTTGAAAGAAGCTGAACTTCTTATCATCCGTGAGATTCAGGATGAGAAATTTCCTGAAGAAATCGAAGCTCTCAAGGCAGGCAGAACAGTAAACAAGAGCAGTTCAATTTTTAATCTGGACCCATATTTGGACGAAGATGATTTACTTAGAGTGGGAGGCAGACTTCGTCACTCCAACTTGACCTCTCAAGAGAAGAATCCACTTATTGTTCCGAAAAAGAGCCACATTGCCAATTTGCTTGTGGACCACTTTCACAGAGAAGTGAAACATCAAGGACGCTTATTCACAGAAGGGGCAATAAGAAGCGCAGGGTTTTGGATAGTAGGATGTCGCCGTCTTGTGAACTCTCATATACAGAAGTGTGTATCATGTAGAAAGCTGCGAGGCAAACAACAACAACCAAAAATGGCTGACGTTTTTGAGGCTCATCTTCATCCGGCACCCCCCTTTACACATATTGGAGTGGATGTGTTTGGACCTTGGTCCATTGTTAACAGAAAGACACGAGGAGGTCAAGCTCAAGCTAAGAGATGGGCAGTGATTTTTACCTGTTTGGTCATTCGCGCAATCCACATCGAGGTAATTGAGGAATTAAGCACCTCTAGCTTCATCAACGCTTTACGTCGTCTTACAGCCCTTAGAGGTGAAGTGCGCACAATTTGCTCCGATCGTGGTACAAACTTTATTGGAGCCACTTCAGAAATGAACGTCAACATGATTGACAT